CTCTTCATATTCTATCGTTACAATTTCTTCTCTTTTACGTCTTTCTATCATAAACTTCTTTATTCTTCATCTTCTACCGTTACAATTCTTTCTCTTCTACATCTTTCTATCACAAACTTCTTTGCTCTTTTCCATCTCTCGATCCCGATAAGAAATTATGGATTAACAGTATAGCTGGCGGTACACCTCCCTCTATCTTTCTATGCATCTATAGAAAGATATGAAACAATAATTATGGGTGTTTTACTTCTATTTTCTCGATCTCTCTATCCACTTTGTTGTCTGCGATTAGAAGCAAACTGAAGTAGATTAGAGAAACCATATAAGGAAGAACAAGAAAAGTAAATCAGTTGCTGGTGTGTTTCATTCATCTCTGAAGTTTCGATAAAACTAATTAGATGCTCCCATATCTTCATGAGACTGGATATACAAAACTTGGAAATGGTATGTTTTCACTTTGAATTACTTTCTCAATTTTCCACACAATATGAACTTTGAAGTCGATCTAGATATCTCAGATTGGTAATTTTGTTATTTTCATTTTGAAGATTGCAGATTATTTTTGAAAACAGTTAATTATTTATATTCTATTACATTTTTTGACGACTCGGGATATTCATAGAAGGAAAAAAAAATGATATTTTCCCATTTTTTTGAACTAAAACATAATTTGATAATTTTCTACTATAGTCACGTTCCATGTCACATTTTTTATTGGATTTTTCATTATAAAAGGTAATATTCGGCTTTACACCTAATAATATACCGAATTGATATATGTTATTTATAAATTATATTTTTATTTTTCACAAGAAATATATTACACCTCTCTTTATTCTTATAATAATAAGACAACCAAAACCAAGAAATTAGTTATATATCTATAGAATGTATTATCTGTCATTTCACAATTTAACTTCTTTTACACTACGTATTCATTTTTCTGCAACTAATATATTTTACTCTCTTTATTCTAACATAATAAAACATTCAAAAATAAAATTGTACCATAATTATTGTGATACATTTTAACACTTTATATCGAATTCAAACTTATATATTTATTTTTCTACAACCAATGTATTTTAACTCTCTTTATTCTAACAAAATAAAACATTCAGAAACAAAATTGTAACACAATTATTGTGATACCTTTTAACACTTTATATCGAATTCAAACTTATTGATGCTTTCTTTCATCAATCAACAACGACCGCGCTTCAATATACATATAAATACGAAAAGAACAAAAACAATTTAATAAAAAGAAGACAAAACATGTTAAAATGACCAAATTACCCCAAAAGATAACAGAGATTCATATAACAGAGTTAGGGTAAGTGGTCTACCTTGTAACGAAATGTAAACCACGCAACACTCAATGTAATTAGTTTGAAAGAGGGATCATATCTAAATTACGAGCAAACTATAGGGACCAATGGTGTAATTTACTGTTAAAATAAAAAAAAAACAACTAAAGAATTAAAATTTTATTTGATCTTTGCAATCAATTTGTAATGTTTTTGTGTTTGAATAACTTATTTTTATAGTTATTTTATTATATAAACAATTAATTCGGTATTAGTCACAATAACATTAATTATTAAATGATAAAGTAAATTATTCATATACGTCTATTTTAATGTAAATTACAAACTATGATAAATCAAGTATTTTACCTTTAACACATTGCAAATGGGGTTCTTTTTGGTTTTATTTTCGTTATAAATTAGTTATCTTATCTTATCATCTTTAAAAAATATATTAAGTTAACCATAAAGGTGGTGCCTGATTGGTTTGAGTTTGACTTCAAATGTCAAAAGTATCAGGAGGTTCCAGATTCAAATCTAAAGAGGAATAAAAATTCTCTTGTGGCCATGAAGGTTGCACATGGAGATCGTCACTCAATACCGAAACCACCATTGTTGGTAGTGATTGTGCAACAATGTATGTTATGGATTTTATTAACGAGTTGATTCGGTTAAGATTGTTATGTTTATACTAAAATTTATTTTATCGTCATTAGACATGATTCATAATGAATGAAACTCTAAATTCTAGATTTTCTAAGAATAAACGAGACAAAATTCTGCTCAACAGTTTTTAAAACAACACTTAAACATCTGATTCATAGATGGATATTCATTAAAATTTTAAGGTATATCCAATTATTTCATGCGTACAAGTTATTAAATTTTTAATTAAAACAACTGATAAACACATTCAAATATATGATAATACTCTTCGTCATTATCTTTATAAAAAATCAACCAAAATAAGTTATATATTTACTTTAAATTATAATAAAAAAAGAATTTTTATAATTTTTAATTTGGAACTCATATCAATATAATTATTTTCAAGATTATCATCAGATCTTTATTCTTTAAATTAACACTAGAATGATACTCGCACAATGTAGGAATATACATATCGATTTTAGTGTTTTATTTTATTATGTCCCCTATCGATGTTATAATATGATTTTATATGATTTTGAAAAAAAACGATAATGTTTTTATTTTTGAATAAAATATATATTTGAAGTTATCTTAAAATTTTAAAAGAAATATATCGATATTGGTATCAAATTAACTATTTAAAATTTCTTGTTTTTGTTGTGTAATTTCTTTAATTCAA